CGACGCGCCCAGCTCTTGCGAGCTCGAGAAGACCGAGATGAGGCCGGGGGCCGGCGCGGCCATGGCGACGGCGGCAGCAGGGAGGCGGAAGCCCTCCCGGCAGCCGCCAGTGCGCCTGCGCGAAGACTGGTCCTGGTACACAGCTCTCGGTGCCTTTGGGCGGCTGCTTTTAGCACATGCGCAGTCCCATGAGTGAAATCCCGGCGGGGTGGGGCAGCCGGTCCGGCTGCGCTCATTGATTCTTTGCGCGCTCCTCGAACTCTTTCCTGGGCTGCGGCAGGCGGAGCAGGTGCAGTTGCGCTCAACCACCCGGTATCAGGGCGGGGCCAGAGAAGGGAGCTTCCAGGCTCGGGAAGAGGGGGACCTGGGGTCGGGTGGAGGGAGGTGATTTCCTGGAGGAGGGCGCATTTTGGTGGACTTTGCATTCCTGAACTTCTGTTTGTCTTGCTGGTATTTGTCGTCTCTCTCTTTAATTAAAATATAGACTTGATGAGGACAGGGATATTTGTTATGTTCACCGAGTCCTCCAAAGCCCCCTGAATTATGGCACAGCGTAGGGGCTGAAAATACACTTGTTGAATTTCTCCTGCATATTCTCTCTGGAGACCTCTGTGTCTCTCTGAGGACTCAGAGAGTCCTCCACCCTGGATCTTGCCTGGAGAAGCTCCCAGACTGAGGCAAGTGGGCCTTGGCTGATAAGATAGAATTACTCAGGGAATAACATGGGCAGGGAGGACTGGAAGGGGCAGGAGGCCTGGTGGGTCAAGGCAGCTGGACCACGTCTCAGAAGCAGAGAGTTTAGGAGAGTGTAGTAAGTGCAATGAGATTTGCATAGGTAATGCATCTTTCAAAGAAATAGCAAGAAAACAATGCCATTTACAGCATCAATTCTGTAACTAGACAGAGGGGACGGTTGCATAACCTTGTGAATATACTAGAAGCCACTAAGTTGCACATTTTAAATGTTTTTTATTTTTATTATATTTTAAATGTATTTATTTCATCTTATTATTTTTGGCTGCGTTATGTCTTCGTTGCTGTGCATGGGCTTTCTCTAGTTGCTGCCAGCAGGGGCTACTCTTCGTTGCGGTGCGCGGGCTTCTCAGTGCGGTGGCTTCTCCTGTTGTGGAGCACGGGCTTCAGGCACGCGGGCTTCAGTAGTTGTGGAGCACGGGCTTCAGTAGTTGCACACGGGCTCTGTTGCTCCACGGCGTATGGGATCCTCCCCGAGCAGGGCTCGAACCTATGTCCCCTGCATCGGCAGGCAGACTCCTAACCACTGTGCCACCAGGGAAGCCCTAAGTTGCACATTTTAAGAGGGTGCATTTTATGGTATATGAATAACAGCTCACTTAAAAAATAAACCAGTGATTCAGGCACATGAGACAGCAGGAGCGAAGGCGCTGAGGCCAGACACAGGCTGGAAACAGCCATCTGTGGTACAAGGAAAAAAGCCTGCAGGATGACAGTGCTAGCCAGAGCCTGGAATCTTCCCCAGAGTGATGGAGACCCTCAAGGGGTGTGGGGCAGGGATTCAGCCTGCAGCCGCCCGTCCTCAGGAAGCTCCTAGCCCCCAACTTTCCTCCTCCAGGTGCCCTCTCGGGCAGCTGCTGCTCCTTCCTGGTCCTTCATGCACTTCTCAGCCCCTGCCTCTCACAGTGTACTTGCCAACATCAGGCTGGGGCGTTTTTCTTCCCACGTCACAAATAAAGACATCCCCTCTGTGCATATCCTTCCAGGGCCCCTCCAAAAAGGAGGCTCAGGGCACAGCACCTTGGGATCCTAGCTCTCTTCCTGATTTACCGAGGGTCCCGGGGGCAAGTCACAGAGCTTCTCATTTGGTATAAAAAAATACAGAGCTATTGGGGCTTCCCTGGTGGCGCAGTGGTTGAGAGTCCGCCTGCCGATGCAGGGGACAGGGGTTCGTGCCCCGGTCCGGGAGGATCCCACGTGCCGTGGAGCGGCTGGGCCTGTGAGCCATGGCCGCTGAGCCTGCGCATCCGGAGCACATATTTTAATTTTGACCTAAAAAAAAAAAAAAAAAAAAAAAAAAGTACAGAGCTATCAAGCCACGAGAAGGCATAGAGGAACATCAAATGCATCTTGCTGAGAGAAGCCAGTCTGAAAAGGTTACACATGGTGTGATTCCAAGTCCATGACACTCTGGAAAAGGCAAAACTGTGGAGACAGTAAAAAGATCAGGGGTTGGGGTAGGAGGAATGAAGAGATGGAACATGGGAATTTTAGGGCAAGAGAAACTATTCTTTGTGATACTGTAACAGTGGATGCTTGTCTTTATGCAATTGTTGAAACCCACAGAATGTATAACAGAGCTAACCCTAATGTAAACTGTGGACTTGGCTTAATAATAATGTATCTACATTAGCTCATCAAGTGTAACAAATGTAGCCCACTAATGCCAGATGTTAATTATAGTGGAAACAGTGGCAGAGGTGAGGGGGTATATGGGAACTCTGTATTTTCTGCTCATTTTCCTGTAAACCTAAAACTGCCCTAATAAGTAAAATCTATTAATTTAATTATTTTTTAATAAGTTTATTTATTTATTTTTGGCTGCGTTGGGTCTTCGTTGCTGCGCGTGGGCTTTCTCTAGTTGCAGCGAGCCGTGGCTACACTTCATTGCGGTGCGCAGGCTTCTCATTGTGGTGGCATCTCTTGTTGCGGAGCACGGGCTCTAGAGCGCAGGCTCAGTAGTTGTGGCGCACGGGCTTAGCTGCTCTGCGGCATGTGGGATCTTCCCGAACCAGGGATTGAACCCGTGTTGCCTGCATTGGTAGGCAGATTCTTAACCTTGCATCACCAGGGAAGTCCCCTATTAATTTTAAAAAGCAAACAAACGCAGACCCTGATCCTAAGAGACATCAGGATTATCTTCTTGCTGGTCTGGAGAGAACTTCTTACACTGCTGCAACTAGCGTCACAGGCTTTGCAATGAGAAAGGTCCCCACTGGGCCACTTTCTCACCAGAGCCCCTTACAATGAGTTCATCCCCCTCCCTGTGCCTTCAGTTTCCTCATCGGTACAACAGGGACCACGATGATACCTTTGGAGGTGGTTGGATGTCTGAAGGGATGTTACCCAGAATGCACTTGCTTATCAGCACACCAGGGAAGCTCCATCCCCACCAGCAACAGATCCTTCTCCCACCCTCACTGGGCATCTCAGAGGCTATACCTTACATCCCCCTCTTTGCACTGTGGGCAGCCAAGGACCAGCTCCACACATCAATGGTTCATCCACCCTTGAGCTGGCCAAGGACTCATCCACCCCCCGTCCAACCCCAGGGTCGCCCCCTGGGTGCTCCCTCCTAGCAAATGCTCCGTTGTCATAAGACTTTCTTCCTCTGTCCCTTGAAATGGAGACGAGATAGACATTATAATTCTGGAGGGGGGACAGCTGAAGGTGGGAGCTGAGAGTATGAACTCTGGAGCTCAATGTCCTGGGTTCAGATCCCATCTCAGACATCTACCCTTGCAGGCTCAGTGGTTCTCGCCCAGAGCTATGGCCTTACGTGCTGACCCCACACACAGAGGGGCTCCCTTCCTGGGGCAGCCGGACATGCCAGGACACACCCTCTGTCCCCGGCCATCCTGTGCACCTGCCGGAACCCACAGGCCGATAGGCTGTCCCTCTCCTGGGACCACCAAGGTCAGCACGGGGCTACGGGAGGACCCGGAGGCTGCAGGGAGGTGGCGAGAAAGCTAACTCATGTGCCCCCCACCCCGCCCCCCATCCCCAGACCCCTGAAGCCTTGCAGGTTGGAGAAGAGGCAACAGGAGCTGTAAGTAAAGGCTGAGTATGTTTTGCTCATGTCTGGTGACTGTGTGGTACCCGGTGAGGGGCCCGAAACTGACAGGGTTCTGGGCCACATGGGGACAAACGGTGAGTGACTGAGTTCCCATCAGGCACCAGACACTCTGCACAGGTTTATTTCTTAAATTCAGCTAGGAAACAAAATCTCAGTGCTTAGAAAGGCCCACGCAAAACAGCATGGGGTCACCTGCTACTGGCCTTGCTGTTCTAGGTGCGGGACGGTGCTGCCAGAGGGAGGGACCGGGGGGCAGTTTGGGTGGCAGGCCCCAACGATGGGTGTCCGGGCTGAGCCATCGACGAAGCTGATGGGGATGTCCGAGCCATCCTGGCAGGGTTGTCTCGGGATGTCACCAACCCAGGGTCCGAGCTGTCACTAGCAAGGCTAGCGGGACATTCAATAGGCTGGAACGCCTGAGGCCCAAGAGGCCATGTCAGATGCCACCCCTGGCCTGGAGGCCTCCCCCAACCCCACTGCTGCCACTCCCATGTGTCCCTCCAGCAGCCACACCAGGTAGGATCCCCAAGAGGCCTCTGCCAGGGTGAGCATCTGAGCAGTGGGCTGAGCAGCCACCCAGAGCCATCTTCAGGGCCCCTCCAGCAGAAGCTCCGTGGAGACGCCTGAACAGGGACATCTGGGCAGGGGAAACATCCAAGTGGTCACAGTCAGTTCCAGAAGTTTCTGGGGTATCAGGAAGGGCAGGCAAGGCAAGGGAGACCCACCAGGGACAGAAAGTGCAAAAGGCAATTGGCCCGGCCGGGAAGAGATTTCCCGTTGACCTGCACCCCTGGCCGAGGCCCCCCTGCTCCCCGGCTGGCCAGGCAGACACCCCCGGCTCCTCAGTTCAGCAAGGAGAGTGGAGGGCCTGCCTGGAGCTCATGCAGTGCTACAACGTCCAGGAATCCACCAGCCTAGGGAGGTCTGGGCTGGGTGGGCCTTGTTAAGGCACAGCTGAGAGGGAGGTGGAGAGGCCCCACTCGGGTTTACCACCGTGGGGAGGACCCGCGGAGGCCCCCAGGGCAGCTGGGCCTCCGCACAGACCCCAGCAGACACACACACAAGCACAGGAGTGGAGGACAGGCAGGGGGCAACCAGAGGGAGAGAGGAGGAGGGTGAAGGCGGGAAATACAGGCTCCTCCCGGGATCCAGTTTCCCTGCCCCCAGGACAGGGCAGGGCTGTCTGGTTCAAGCTCCCCTCGCTTGCTGGGCCTGGTGCAAAGTCTCTTGTGGGCCGAGGAAGATCGTCAGAGGGAGAAGGCTCCCGAACAGATGCGGGTGTAGACTCCCTGATCCAGAGGCAGGTAGTGGCCCTGCTTCAGGTCCAGGAAGAAGAGCCGGTCTGAGGTCTGGCGTGGGTCGAAGCCCTCGTGCTGCAGCCTCGTCTTCCGAATCTTGAAGGTGCCTGTGCGGATGGGGGTGCCTCGGCAGGGGGATTCCAGGAATCCCCCCCCTCAACTCGCCATCCTGTCCTGCACCTCCAGGCCTCTGAAGAGGCCTCTGCTAGGAACATTCTTCCCCATTTTGCCTGCCTGACTGCCCCCTGGCCTTTGGGTCTCAGCTTCATGCCCTCTCCTCCAGGGAGGCCTCCCTGACCACCCTCGTCATGGCCTGAAACTCTGTGTACCCCCTGCCTGGTCACGTGCCGACCCCCCCACAAGACCACGAAGGTGACAGGGCTGGCTCTGTCACACAGCAGGTCAGGGGTCAGCAACTTATAGGCCCAAGGCCCACCCCACGGGCCAGATTCAGCCCACCATACGAGGTGGGCCACGCCTATTCACTTACACACTGTTTACTATTGCTTTTGCCCTACAGCGGCAGAGCTGAATTATTGCTGCAGAGGCTGTGGCCCGCAACTGAAAATATTTACCATCTGGGACTTCAAGGAAAAGTTTGCACTCCCTGCGGTAGACTATTAAACAAGGGTTTTGTGAAAGACAGGGTTAGGGTTGGTAGGAAAAAATGGAGGGAGAATCCCTGTGTGCTCTAGAGCTGGGAAGGTTTTCTTCTTTTCAAATGAAACTTCAAAAAGCACAAACCTGTGTGCATTGGTGGCAGAGTGGTGAGCATAGCTGCCTTCCAAAAGCACAAACCACAAAATTGAAAAAGCAGAGGTGGTAGTGGTGGTGGTGTTTAAGTTTGTATCAAAATTAGAGGCTTCTTTTCAATAAAGGGCACCATGGACAGAGTTAACAGATTCCTAAACAGAAGAGATGTAGAAGGTCTGAAACCCCTAAGGAATTAACATCTAGACTATTACGGGAAATTCCCGTAAATCACAAAGAAAGATGAGGCAATCAAAGATGGGTCAAAGATACGAAGGGTGATTTACAGCAGAGGAAACCTCAGAGGTGTGAGACGATTTGCTCAAATTTCCTAGTCATCAGAAAAAATGCTGAATATGAAGAAATGCACCAAATACTGCAGGATACCCAGTGGGAGTGCGAGTGAGAAACGGAAAGAAATAAGTATGTAAATAAAACAAGAAAAGGGCTTGGCCCACAGTGCCGGCTGGCCATGAACCATTACGTTGGACCTGGCACAGGGACTGAACTAGGACAGATAAGTAAATGATTGAGGAACTAACAGACAGATGGATACACGAAGAGACAGGGGGCCGCACCTGTGGTGTCCACCTGGGGCAGGAGGCGCAGGAAGATGGGCCGTGCGTAGGGCGCCAGCACCTTCTGCAGCTCCTGGTACAGGGCATCGGGGCTCAGCTGGCCGTGGGGGTCTGCAATGGCCGCCATGCCTGCTTTGCCCTCCACCCCTGGAGACAGAGGTTTGGCTGAGACCACCACCCTTTGCCCCTCCATGGGACCAGATCCACCCTCCAACGGTGGCCCCTGGCTTCTGATCTCCAGTCCCTTCCACCTGGAATAATGCTCGCCAAAGCAGCAAACATTTTACGGAGCTCCTGCTGCACTCTCTGCAGCCCTGAGCCATGGCCGATTTCATGAGCCCATTTTCTGGATGAGGAAACTGAGGCTCAACATCAGCCATGAGGAGAGATTCCAGATCCAGGCCGCCACCCTGTCGGGTGCAGTTGTCCAGGTTGTGCACTACTTTAGGTCCTGCCTACAAGGGTACCTGTACCTCCAAGCTCCTCTTGGCTGGGCTCCTCTGGAGCTGCTCCCAGGACCCTAGAACCACCCCCAGAGCCCCCAGCTTGCCTGGCACGGCGACCCCATACACGGCCACATCTGTCTGGCCCAGCAGGCGACTCAGCACGCCCTCCACCTCAGTGGTGGAGACGTTCTCCCCACGCCAGCGGAAGGTGTCCCCACTGCGGTCCCGGAAGTACATATAGCCCAGCTCATCCATCACCAGCACGTCACCTGGCAGAGAGGAGAGGGGGAGGTAAGACGGCGACCTGCCATCCCTACAGCCAGCCCCCAGGGTCTGCACACCTGAGAGGTAGGCGCTGTCACCCTTGCGGAAGACGCTGTGGGTGACCTTCCTGCTCGTGGCACTCTCGCTGATGTAGCCATCGAAGCGACGCAGCGGGTCCTGCTGGTTGATCTGGCCCACGAGGAGGCCAGGCTCCCCTAGGGAGGAGGCAGCGTTCAGGCTGTGCTGGGCAGGCAGGAGGTGGGGGGGGGCCCAGCTCCCCGGGGGACTGGGCGGGACCCTGCTCACCGGCCTGGCATGGGATGCAGAGGCCCTGGGCATCCCGCAGTAGTTCCATGGTGTCCTCATTGACCTTCACCAGTCGGATGGGGTACACATTGGGCAGGATGCGGCTGTTGAAGCCACAGGAGCCGACCTGGGATGCGGCCAGCCGAGTCAACGAGGAGCCCCAGGGTGACACGGTGTCCTCCCCCCCCCCCCCCCATCACACCACG